CTTTGTTTGAACTTAGAGCTAAGTTTCTCGTGGATATTTGCGCCAGCTACCTTAACACTCACCTGATTCCCTCCTGCATATTCCAGCATCTGTGTTTTCTACCCATCCCCTGTCTACTTACGAAGTCCCACTCCCATGTCAGTCCATTCCCTGAGTCCTCTGAGCCCCACACCCTCAAAGGCCATAGCATAACAGTGGTCCACCTCATGCTCAGAATATAGCCCTTGCTGCTGTGCCACGGAGGCTTATTTTATTTATTTTTTTAAATTTAAACGTTCATCATTTATTTGCATTGGTAACATTGAAAATCTATTCTAGCTGTTTTAAAGTACACAAGAAATTATTATGAACTATAGTCCCCCTTCTATGGTGCAGACACAGATTTTATAGCTTTCCATTACATTTTCCTTTTTCTTCACTTTCTTCTCCTTTGCCTGTCCTTCCTTCCTTTTCTCCTTTATTCCTTTTTTTAAACCATGATGCAAAGAAAAGACCACCAACACCAATTTTAAATCAAATTAAAGCAAGCTTGTAATGCTGGCCAGGACTCTCTGTCCTGAAAACCCTTTCTAGAAAACAGTACCCCAGCTCTCTAGGAGCATGGTTTTATAGCATAAAAAGTTGCAAAGGGAGGGTGTCTTGAGACTTACAGCTAACAGGAATTTGGCAAGCATACTACAAAGGCAGATAGTAGATTAATGATCTACATGGCTTAATATTTTAGGATAGCGAATAAATTTAGACCCCAACACCAGAATTTATAAGGCATTACTGAGGTTTCAGAGAGGGTTGTTATCTGGTCAGGGAAAGCCAGGCATGGGTGAGTTCAAGGCCTGGGCAGGCATTCCAAGCAAGTTTAGAAATCATAGTAATTTATAGTAACACAGAAATTAACATTTCATGACTTTATGATGAGATGGCTCCTAATCTTAAAATGGAATTAGGCTGGTTCATCATGTTCATTCATACTTCGCATTGATCCCAGAGAAGCTCTGCCACTGAGTTATACCTCATCTTTTTTTTTAATTTTTTTTTTCTACTGAGACAGTGTTTTATTAAGTTGTTGTGGCACTCCTTGAACTTTTGATTTTCCTGCACCAGCCTCCTAAGTAGCTGGGATTAAAGACTTGTACCACAATGACCAACTCTTTTCTATAAGGGTGTTTTATAAGCAACCTAATAAACAACCTACCTCTATGCCCCCACTCCCTTATATTTCCCAGCCTAAGCAGTATTTATGTTATTCTTTATTTCTATGACATCCACATTCTTATCTTTACATCTTCCGTATGTGATTTATTTTACTTATATGATATCTACTAGTTAAATCTAAAAGTTGAGGAATGCATAATATCTCAAAAATTATTAATCTTTATAGCTGAATAATATTCTATTGACTATTTCAACCAAATTTTCTTTATTCATCCATTCTTTGATGGAAACATTGACTAATTTCCTGCCTTATCTATGAGGAATTGAGTCAGAAGTAGAGACACACAAGGATTTTGAAGATAATGTTGCAAAATAAATTGAAAAACTGAGATTTTTCTAGATTGTATGATGGCTTATCTCTGAGGCTTATTTAAAATGCATAAATTTTCTTTCCCTCCTCTCTCTCTACCTCCCTCTAACCTCAGGGGAAACAGGGTTAACTTTTCCCATCCTAGGCCCAGGTCTCTGTCTTAGAACACACACCCACCACAGGAACCAAGTAATTCAGACTTCAGAGAGGGCTCCAGGAGATCCAGGGAATGGCTACCTCCCAAATTAACCAGTGAATCCTACACCCAGCCCCAGGGAGCAACTGGAATGAATCACTCTCTCAAAGCCCTCTGTTCTTCCTCATGGGCAGCATCACAGCCTCTGGGACGGAAGTCCTCTGTGCTTCTCCTTTACCAGCAAAGCAATAAAACTTCTTTTTCCTTTTTCTCAAAGAGAAAGAAGAGAACCCTCCAGGAGGCACCTTTCCTAGTTATTGAATTGGCCTTGGGGATAAGGACCCAGCTTTCAGTGACAACAGTGCTCAACCTCCAGGCACCTCCACTCCTCTGTGAGGTGCATGCTGCCCCTGACCACCACCCACCTCCCTGCAGCCCTGCCCCTTGCTCCTGGTGCTTCAGTGCACTCACAACCAGGGGCCCCTCCCTCAGGCTCCCTCCCTTCCTGGGCACATCCTTCCTCCCTCCAATGTCTGTCCCCTCCCCAGGCTCTACCTCCTTTGCTGACACTATGAATCTGCCTCAGTTACTGTCCACCAAGGTGGGCTCCTCCTCTCCTGATCTTTGCCCACAGCAGGTCTCCATCACATGCTTCCCACTGACACTGACTCAATTAGCCAGTGACCCTTTGTTGCCATCACACCCTTCTTCCTCTCACCTGGGCATCCCTCCACTGGGAACCCAGTGATTTTATGCCTGTTGAAACCAGTCTTGGAGATCAGGATCAAGTCCTCAATCCCACAATGTTGAAGATCGAGTACCCCAAAAATGCCAAGGCTAGAGCGAAAATTTATTTAAAGATGGAATGGGGGGGTGAAGGGGGAGAAGGAGAGAGGGAAGGAGAGAGGGAGGGAGAGAGAGAATACTCCACAGAGGAAGGAGACCAGAGCTGATGCTTGATGGAGTGCGGGGCAGCGGTCGTGCTCCTAAGGACAATAAAATGCAGGACGCACGCAAACTTCAGGAATCAGCTCAACTCTTCTTCTGAGGAACAAAGTCACATAAGACAGGGGATAAAGGGATGGGTGACCTGTTGGACCCACTATCCTGGTGGAAATGAGCCACTAAACAAAGAAAGGCACCAGGCTTACTCAGAGGTGATTTAGTGAGACTGTCAGGTTGGGCAAGCACCTGTCAGCGGCCAGCACCTGGAGAGGAATTGTCCCGGAGAAGATAATCCTAGAGGCTATGATTCTAGATTTGATGGAACACTCTCTCCCCTCCTGCAGCCAGCATCTGGGAAGGATTTATCTTGGGAGAGATGAAAGCTGTCAATGTATGGCTTTCTTTTTTCATTTTATTTTCCCAGGCCAAACAGTCTTGGGGTTTTTAATTTTCCATTTTCTGTATCCAATAGCTCCTTTTGTAGATTTCAGATTTCCTTTCTTCTCCGGCCCCCTCTTTCACCCTGCCTACCTGGTGAACAAAAGGGCAGGAAGAGAGCCCTCCAGGAGGCACCTCTCCCTATTTCCCACATCTGCCCAGAAAGCCAACAGGGGAGATGCCCAAGGGGTGTTCACCAACAACTCCTTGCTAGAAGGACCAGTTCCCTGGAGGCAGGTGACATTGGCCACAGGTGAGGAGGAGGAGGAGTGTTCTGCAGGAGTTACCATTTCCTGTCCTTTGACATCAGCTCAGTCTTCCCAGCCCCACCCCATCATCTGACTGTCTGGACGACCTGTCCTTCTGTTCTTGTCTTGCCATGACTTCCTGGCTCACTCTGTCCTGTGAAGTCAAAGCCTGGCATGGGCTTTAACCTGGAGCAAGACGTCACATGCTGTTGCCTTTTTCCCAGGAGCTTCTCCTGCCCACGCTCTTTGGACCTCATGCACCAGGCTCTCTGCTTCACCTTCTCATGTCTGTTGTCCATTTCCCTGTGCCCTCTGTCTCTCTTGTCCATCACACAGCCGTGCTCTGTCCCTCCCTCAGCACTTCACTGTTAACAGTGCCCTGGGTGTTTGTAGTAAATGCCCTTGAGTGCCAGGGCTCACAGGTGAGGGAGTGCTGAGGCAGCCACTGGAGGAAGGTGAGGCCTGGGCCTCTCAGCAAGCCTCCAGGAAGGTTCCAGAGTGAGCATTCCCCAGGATGTGCAGGGCCAGCTCCACCTCTCTCCTCATCCCTGGGCCTCCCTTTATTTCATCTCTGTTCTCATCACATGAAAGTCCTTTGTTGGGGAGGATCTGTTCATTCCACAGGTAATCCAGATACTAGCTGGGTTTAGTTTCACACCTTGAAAATCAAGTACTTACCAAGTCACTTCCACTCCTCAAAATGTTGATGTTTCCCTGGGAAGTTGGGTATTGCCTTAAAACTCAAGCACCTTCAATCATTCCTAAAAGAATCCACTTCCACAGGGAAACCTCAGCTACTCATGAGGCCTTTGAGAAGATAGCATATGGGTGGCAGAGGAACATAGATACTAGGGCAACTGAGGGCAAAGAGACTAATGTCCTATAGTAATCACTTTTCCCCACAGTCCTTCCATGATGCTATTTCCCAGGAAGCCCCATGAATCTTCCCCTCCCCCACTGAAGTTCTCAGGACCTTGTCTGCACCATCAACATCGCTGTTTATACATAAATTGGTTCTTCTAAGAATACAATCTAGCCTAAATACACAAATTTATTACCATTGAGCTGTGATAACTGCTACTTCGTAAGAGTGAAATAAAGGTGTGATCTTTCCATTTTGAATAACAGCTGAGCACATTTTTCACCAAATCTGAGTGTGACATTATGCTACAACTCTTGTACACGTCCCAGCAGGAGAGGTGCGATTCCTAGGTGAGAACCCAGGGCTCCTTCTGGTGGCACAGCAGGCAGCAGGAGCACTGTGCTCCCACCAGCCTTTCCCTCTCCTGCCAAGTGCAGTCTGGATGTGTGGAGTGGCCCAGGTGGACGCTGCACAGGAAGAACTGGGAATGACTCCATTCTGTTTCCCTCAAGAACATGAACTAGGATTGCTGCCTGTGGGATGCTCTACATAGGGTGAGAACCACCAGCTCTGCTCCCCTCCACCATGGCCACGTGGGTGCCACTACCAGCTGAAGGCCACACTGCCTTTTAGGGTCAGAAAGTCATGTGACTTTTCCATATATTTGTGTATTGGTGCTTTGAGTGTGAAAAATGATGAAATATCAAATAAAAAAACATGCAATCTATATATACTGATAGTAAGATTAGGCTACATTTTACCTATATTTTAATACTGTGGATTAAGCCCATGGATGCTTTGCTACTGATCTTCATCCTCAGCCTTTTTTGACACAGGGTGTTGCTAAATAGTTGAGCCTGGCCTTCAACTTGTAATTCTTTGGTCTTAGTCTTCCAGGTTCCTGATAATAAATGTTTTCCACAGCACCCAGCAAGATTTTGTGGGTTTTATGCAAACAAAGCAGAGCCTGGAGAGAGTGCAGGGGGTGGTTTCATGGCTCATGAGAATAAAGGGGCTGACCATGGGAAAACACACTGATATTAGTTCATTGATGTTCACCAACCACCCTTCCCAGCTGGAAAATAGAGCAATATGAACACTTAATAGGGAGGAGAGGGTGTAGAAACTCACAAAGGTGCCCACCAGGACAAGAATTCTCTGGGTGGCTGTGGACTCAGGACAAGATCTGGGGGAAACTTTAATGCTGTGAATGTGCTGAACCCTCTGCTTGTGCCTGTACAGAAGGAGAACCATGGAGCCACTGGACCAGATCATGAGCATGGAAAAGACAACCTCAGGAAATACAAATAAGGCTGCATATATTGAGTCTGTGATTTTGTCATGACCTACATAACAGTACCCATGATCTCTTTTCTCTGTTGTGTTTTTCCTACTCCATTTGGTAAGCATATAGAGAGGAAAAATGGAATTCACCATCATGTACAGGACCCAGCAGAAGGAAATGAAGAAGCCAATGAACTTTGGAGCTCTTCCTTTGAGATCCTTCCAACAGAAATTCACGGGGCTGATGGTGATGTTCTGGAAGATGCTCAAGAGGCAGGTGATGAAAATGGACATACTCTTGCCCACTCGCTGAATATACAAAATAAGTTTGCATGCAAAATCACTGAGAAAATATTTCAACCCAAAAGCTGTGATTATCTGGGGAATTCCTTTAGACAGAATGACCAAGGAGTTGGCTATCATCAGGTGCTTGAGAATCATATCTGTGGACCTTAATTTACAGTCATTCCAGGAATGGACTAAATAATAAAAAAGCAGAGAGAAATTTCCCAGAATTCCAACAGTAGTCACTGATAAGAACATCAGTCCTATTGCCACATTCCTGGAGACCATTTTGTCATTCAGCACAATGTCCTTTTCATTATGACAACAGTCATTCCTCTGAGCAAAAAGACTCATTGAAAATAGTTGTGCCAAAGCACAGAGGGAAACACCTGTATCTGCTTGCTACCTCTATGGATGAAGCAGGAGACTCCCTTGATCCCAGAAGTTTAAAGCCAGTCTGAGCAACATAGTGAGATCTCCATCTTCAAATAATGTTTGATGCCAAGGGTAACTTTCATTGCATGCACCTGTGGGATTGCAAAGACCTCAAGATGCACAGGTTGATGGGGAGACTTAACAGTGTGCAGTGTAGAAAAATGAGCCTTTACCATCAGGTGATGCTAACCTGGGAGAGGCAATAAAAAGTGAGAACAATTCATAGAAAGAATTTAACACTTAAAGTTTCAGAAAGAACTGATATTTGCTAGTCACATTGGAAAAAGAACTTCAATTGCCACTCACACCATACACAAAAACGGATCTCAGAGAATTTCTGAACTAACTTTAAAAGTGAGCAATAGGACATTGATAATAACAAAAAGAGTATTTCTGTGGCCTTGGGTAAGAAAATGAGTATTAAACAACACAAATGTGAATTATATGGTTGAAATGACATGTTAGGATACATTAAATTGATGGCTAACACTCATCAAGTGCCACACACTGGGTGAGTTTGATATATACAGTGCTGTTATATGTTACAGAATGCATAATAGAAGAGAAAATAGGTGATCATTTTCAAAAGGTATTTCAAGACAAAAGTCATTGTTGAATGATTAATAATCATGGGGGGAGGGTAGAAAATTTCACATAATTATTTAAACAGCACCTCAGTATAAGCACACACCAACCAGAATCTAAAATAAAATGTTAGGAAATATCACAATTGGCAAGATGGAGATAAGCAGGAATCTCATGAACTGGCAATAGTGTTAAAATGGATGCAAACATTTGGCCAACTGATGGTGTCCACTTACTGGATCAGATATAAACCTCTTTGTCAGCAATTCCAAACTGACAAATGATCATGCAGTCCTCCAGATTTGCTGGTGTCCATGTTGGTGAATTCAAGACTGACCCAAGGTTCAGTACCACAGGGAACAGGGGGAATGCGCTGGATGATGCCAGCGAAATGCTTGCATAATTACCAAATGAGCCTACTATTGTGTGTAACTCTGATGCTCTAATAAAAAAGTTTAAAAATTAAATGAGCAAAAACTGATATTGAGGATTCAAAAAAGTTGTTAAAAATTATGTACTTTATAATTTTAAAATAAATAAATGGAAAAATATCCTTTGTAAACAAATATTTAATTCTAGATCAGAAATACTCATATGTGTCATTGCAGAAATAAAGGATAGTAGAATTTTTAAAGGAAATATTCAAAATTATTATTTGGTCCTGAATAATGTAACATGAAACACTAATCTCTGATAAATAGTTTAGGATAGAAATGGAGTCCTCACTAATATCAGGCTAAGAGCTCCTGGGCACGACAGCTACATTACTGCAACCGTCAGTGATGAAGCAGGATTTGCAGAGGACATTTCAGTACAAGAGACATGTCAGTAGAAGCTGGAGCTTGTGGATTTTTTGCTGAGTGACATGGAAAACAGAGAAAACTGTCATAAATTTGTGATTAATGATGAAATATTATTAAACCAGAGGAAATACCACAGATCAATTTATTCCATCAACCACTGTGCAGTTCCTGTCCCTACAATGAGCCTTCTCTTGTG